TATAAAAAAATTAAAATTAATTAAAAATAAAAAATTAAAATTTTATATAAATATAATTTTTAAAATTTATATGTAATTAAATCTTTATATATATATATATATATCTTATTTTCATACTACCTCAACAGGTATTATTAGACCAAGAGATATTTCTCAATATCTCATCTAAAAGTTAGTAGAGCTTAATACACATTAAACTGTACCAAAGATTTCAATTATTTTTAAATATTAGAAAAGCAAATATTTCTCCCTTTTTTACGTTTTATTGTTATTCAATTGCTTTAATTATTCATTTTATCAAAAGAAATTTCTTTATTTTCTCTCTTTCATCATGCTAATAAATAATAATGGGAAAAAGTTGAAAAACGAAACTATTACTAAAATTAATTACTAATAAAGTTAGCGTTTTATTTATTTATTTATTTTTATTTTTTATGTTGATTGTATAATGAAAAGTAATTTCCTCCAACTCATGACTTCATACTTTCAATAAAAAATTTTTTTATTAAACTATTTAAGCTATTGGTATAAAGTTAGCGTTAATTTTTTAAAAGGTGCATTAACCCTCAACTCGGACCTCGGTTAAAAACACCTTTTTTCATATTTGTTAAAAGGCCCATTGAATAAAAATGTTTAAATTATTAATCATATTAATTATCAACTTAATCTCATTAACACTGGTTTTATTTTAATAAAATTATTATTTTTAATTTTAATTTTTATAAATTTTATAATTCTAAACAAAAATTTTATTTACTTTTCTATGTATGTGCTTTTTAATGTATTATCTTATTAAAAAAAGAAAAAATAATAATTTTAATATTATTAAATACCTTTATTTTTTTTCTTATCAATGTGAAAACTCTTTTTAAACAAATTATTAGCTTTTTTAGTTTGAATTTCTAATAATTATAAAATTTATATAAATTAAAAATTGCAATTATACTTTTTTGATATATACAATTATAACCATACTAAATAAAGTCAGTTATTTTTCATTAACTAACAACCTATTGGTTCATGTAGACGGATTGAATTTTATGAATAAATAAATATATGTTGTAAGAGGTTTTCTTTACAAGGTCTAACATGAGCTTAGTTTTGAATTAATAGGGATTTAATATGACTTTCATATACTAAGAGATTAGTACCAAGAAAAGTTATTATCCACTAATTTCAAACCTGTAACCTAATGCCAAAAAAAAAAAAAAACTTACTTTTATGTGGAGGTGCAAGTCATATTTCTTAAAATTCAGGGGTCAATTAAATATCCCGGAAATACATCCACTCACAAATCAATATCAAACGCTGCCGATCTTTTTCCTCTACTCTGCCTCTAAACCCTAGCTAGAGTTGCCGCTCTCCGTGACCCGCACAGCCATGGCGACCTACGACCTGACCCCACGCATAGCGCCGAACCTCGACCGGCATCTAGTCTTCCCCCTCCTGGAGTTTCTGCAGGAGCGGCAGCTCTACCCCGACGAGCAGATCCTCAAGTCCAAGATCGAGCTCCTCAACAAGACGAACATGGTCGACTACGCCATGGACATCCACAAGAACCTCTACCACACCGAAGACGTCCCTCAAGACATGGTAGAGAGGAGGGCTGAGGTGGTTGCTCGCCTCAAGGCATTGGAAGAGTCCGCCGCACCCTTGGTTGGCTTTTTGCAGAACCCCAATGCCGTCCAGGAGTTGAGGGCTGATAAACACTACAATCTCCAGATGCTTAGTGATCGTTACCAGGTTCAATTCTCCTCCTTTTCAATTGGGTTTACTTATTTAATGCAGTTGCCATGTTATGCTGTTCAAAGATCTTTGTTTTTTTTTTTTTTTTTTTTTTTTTTTTTTTTTTTTCTGTTTTAAGGCATAGATTTTGTAAATTAAGGTGGGTTTGCTGAAATTAACTGGATTGATGCTGTTGAGATATTATGGGTTTATGCATTCTATTAAGTTGTCAAAAAAAAGTTGAATCTTTTTGCTGAAATTCTAATTTTATTCTGTTCCTCATTATTAACAACTACTTATAATTCAAGCAAACATTGTTATTGTGGAAGGAAGTCTTAAAGTGATTTTTCTTTTTTATACTTTTAAATCTCAATAGATTGGTCCAGATCAGATAGAGGCATTGTATCAGTATGCCAAATTCCAATTTGAATGTGGAAACTATTCTGGTGCTGCTGACTATCTGTATCAGTACAGGCTCCTGTGTACAAACAATGACAGGAGCTTGAGTGCACTCTGGGGGAAGCTGGCTGCTGAGATATTAATGCAAAACTGGGATATTGCTCTTGAAGAACTTAATCGCTTGAAAGAAATAATTGATTCAAAGGTTTTTATCATATCCTCTTGGTTATACGTCTGGAGATTTTCCATTTTCTCCCAGTTCATTGTATTTTTTGCCTATAATGGTGCATTTTATTTCAGAGTTTCTCATCACCTTTGAACCAAGTACAGAGTAGAATATGGCTGATGCATTGGAGTCTTTTCATCTTTTTCAACCATGACAATGGAAGAACACAGATTATAGATCTGTTTAATCAGGACAAGTATGCAACTCTGACAACTTATCCAATTTTTTCTCATCATTATTTTGGTTTGTTTCTGAAATCACATTTGATTTCGTATTGTTCTTATCTTTCATGAGTTGAATGATACAGAAATTTAGTCTTAAAACGGAATAAGTTTCACATTGTTACAACTCACAAACCAGTGTAAATAGGTGTCTAGTAGCAAGTCTTTTATCAATTTGAAATTTAAATCAAATTGAAGAAAGATTTATTTAGAAATCTCCTCTCCTCTTATCTACTTTGTTCAGTATTTCTGCATTGGTGTTTCTGCATCCTTAGAGTGAACTTTTAGCTCTGTATCTCCAATCTCCTCTTGTTTTGGACTGGAGGACTTATTTGGCTATCATTCCTAATTTCTCTTATGGTTTGAGTTGCATAATAAATGACTAGGGCTGCTTGATATCTATTTTCTGTCATGTTTGGTGGTTTTGTTACATGACTTCCCTTTTATTTGGTATTTAATAGCTTGAGTAGGCTATAATACTTTGGTATTGTCTTGTAGTTTTTACAAGTTTAGAACTTTCAAGTAATTGCCTCTGTTTGTTTTTAGATTTTATTGATGCTTAATGTCAATCAGTTTTTGTTTTCTTTCTCTGCATTTTTTCTCCTTAATCATTGTTTTTATGATATTCTTTTAGATGAACTTGTTTGTATGATTTTATCTTTATGCGAACTGATTTTTGATTCTTTTCAAGTATGCTATCTAACTAAGCCCTTTTGCAGGTATCTAAATGCCATCCAAACCAGTGCTCCCCATCTTTTGAGATATCTTGCCACTGCATTCATTGTGAACAAAAGGAGAAGACCTCAATTTAAAGATTTTATTAAGGTTATTCAGCAAGAGCAGTACTCTTACAATGATCCCATCACAGAGTTTTTGGCATGTGTTTATGTCAATTATGACTTTGATGGTGCACAAAAGAAAATGAGGGAGTGTGAGGAAGTAAGTTTCATTTCTCACTTCTCAAATGAATGCATTCCACTACCATGGTTGCCTTTACTTTGTGTTTAGACCTACATTTTGTTATCTTGTAACTGCTGCAGGTTATATTGAATGATCCCTTCCTCGGCAAAAGAGTTGAAGAAGGTAACTTTTCTACTGTACCATTGAGAGAGGAGTTCCTTGAAAATGCCCGCCTATTTATCTTTGAGACCTACTGCAGAATTCATCAGCGAATTGACATGGGGTAAGTCCTTGTCTCGGTTTACTGTATATTGTGGTTTCCTATGGGGAATTCTTCACCCCTCAACAAAGTAGAATTGCTATTTTTTGTAAAGGGATGGACTCAAACATCTTTTCTTGTTACTCCATTCCAGAAATCATCATTTTTCTGTGTTTTTATGAGTTTGCCTTTTCATGTCCTCAATGTCAGTCACTATAACTGTATTTGCATTGGCTGCTTCTTTTGATCTGAAATTCACTTCACATATAATTATTGTACCAAATATGGCATTATTGATGAAAGGATTGTTTCTATTGATGCAAATTGAATCATATGTTTCCTCTTATAATATACTTAGAAGTTAGCGCTGTTATACTTTGGATCAAGTGTTATCTACTTCTTTATTGTGAAGTTATTTTTAATATAATTTTCTGTTTATGGTAGAGTGCTTGCTGAGAAGTTGAATTTGAACTATGAGGAGGCTGAAAGGTGGATTGTGAATCTTATCCGAAGTTCAAAGCTTGATGCCAAGATTGATTCCAAGTCAGGAACTGTTATCATGGAGCCTAATCACCCCAACGTGTAAGTTTACAAACATCTAGATTCTATAGTCATTGTCATATATTTAAATGCCCCTTGTTCTCAAATTAACTTTTTCTGAACTTTTCTCCAGTTATGAGCAGTTGATAGACCATACCAAGGTGCTCTCTGGGCGAACTTACAAGTTAGTGAGTCAGCTTCTTGAACACGCTCAGTCACAGCCTGCACGGTGAAGTTTGGTTGTGTAGCTGCTGATGATTTGTTCTTTTCTTTTTTTTTTTTCTTGCAATTTTGAGGCATTGAGAGTAGTTCGTATTTTCCATTTGTATTGACAAATTGCCATTTGTTGATCGTGATTTGCATAAACTAGATTGTAATGTCTCAAGGGAGTTATGCTCGATTATATACTTTGTTTAATGTTTGAATAGAAATAGTTTTTGCAGCTTGGTGCAAAAATTAAGCCCTTGGATGAGTGTGACTCAAAATGAGTCCACCTATCCAACGTCTATGATGTTGTAATTCGGTGTTGGATGGACTGCAAAACTTCACTAACATGAATTGCAGTGAGTAGTGGTTCGCCGTGTTGATCACAACAGATGCTTGCCATTTATTTGTCTTCTGGATGGCTATACAAGAAAACAGTTTTTGAGAATATGAACCTCGAGAGGTTGTCTATGACATTCATCCTTAAGGATTTCCGGCCTGGACTCCCAAAGGTCTAATCCTATTTTATCTTAGGTTAAACCCCCATTTTGGTCCCTCAACTATTGTACGGACCCCTGACTTAGTCCCTCAACTCAAAAAATCCCTGATTTGGTCCCTACTATTTACCATTTTTACCCCGATTTGGTCCCTCCGTTAAAAATCTGCTTACATGTCCCATTAGTTGACCAAAAATGATGACATGTAAAAATATTTGGCCACGTAGGATTGACAATGTGGCAAAAAAACTTGACACGTAATTTTCAATAAAAATTAAAATATCTAAAATTAATTATAAAACTAAAATTAACTTTCTAACCTCATCTTCAACCACACATCAATTTCTTTCCATTTTCCTTTTGTTATCCATTCATTTCAATCTCTAGCATTCATCATCTTCCCCCAGATCCTCGTTGATGAACCCAGGAGCGCCTGTTCGATGAACCCAAGAGGAACCCAGCGACGTTGCTGGGTTCGATCGATGAATGAAATCAACGGCGCCATTGGGTTCATCGATCGAACCCAACGGCGCCGCTGGGTTCATCGATCGAACCCAACGGCGCCGCTGGGTTCATCGATCGAACCCAACAGCGCCTGCTGGGTTCATCGATCGAACCCAGCAACGTCCATGGGTTCCTCC